AGAGCCAGATTCGTTTGGGGCCGGGGGACACCACCCCAAAGACAACACCGCCAGTCGTGCCGGTGCCAAGTCGGCCCCATGGCAAGACCGCCGCAACGGTGCCGGACATCCCTATGCCACTGGATCCAAACATGCATATGGCACAGGATCAGAACGATGACGACGACGATACATTTGCCAACGTCGATCAGTACTTTGCCGATCATGGGTACGGTGGCGACTTCATGGGGCCTCCTTCTCAAAAACTCAACCCAACAAAAGACGTGTGCGATCTAGCTGGTACCACGGAGAAGCCAAGTTGCAACAGGTGTCGTCTGTAGTTTAGCTCTCAGGAGACGCCTCCAGCTGCCGACTTCACCGAGCCTCAGATAGGCGAGGTGCGAAATATGATCAGCCCCAACACACTCAAGAAGGCGGTCTATGAGCAGAACTCGGTCCCATTACAGGAGAAGAAGAAGGCACGCAAAAGAAAGACTAACAAGGGTGTGGGCCAGCCGGCACCGAGTACGATCCGTGCTCAGGACGGGCCACCTTCACCTGAGGATATCTCGAGGAGGGTGCATGTGGCGGGTAGGCCGATGCTACCGAGAAATATGCTCGATGCTGCAACCAGTGCTATGCGGAGTCTGCATGACAGTGTTCTTTCTTTGGAGAAGCGGCGTCTCGGAGAGAAGGATGTGGCATACCCGGTTTTCGCGGCCAAGGTGCCAGAGGGCAAGGGCTTTGTGGATAACTCCATCGGGGGTACGATCGTCCTGCGGTTTGATGACATCCATGCTATGTTGAACCTTCATCCGCTGCACTACACCTTCGTTCGGCTATTTTCGCTGAGTATGGAGATGCAGATCATTCGCGACAAGACCCCGGACATTGTGATAGTCGACCCCTTCTACATGCGTGCCAAGATCTTGGGCAGCATTGGGGACCGGCAAGTCGCGAGTTCTTACCTCGAAGGCGTCATTCTGGCAAACCAAGATAAGGATAACTTCCTCGTGCCTTACTTTCCCGAGTAAGTCCTCCCCTCAACCGCCCCGTAACATATGAATTCTTAGATTTTGATTGTTTTTCTTTTAACATTCCGTGTTTTCTGCAGTGACACACGTTGCACGCTCATCCTCCTAAGCCCCAAATATTCCATGGCCACGTATTTCGACCCGGACCGTCAGTCGAACGTAGACTACACAAATGTCAAGAAGTTTCTTGATGATGTTCTCCCCGGGTACGTCAAATCTGGAGGCACCTTCACTAGGCCTATTCGTAAGTACGGCAAGCACGTGTTCTCCCACAATACGATGTTCTGCTGCGTCAAGCAGCCTCCTGGCGGTCAGAAGGGTGCCTACTACGCCATCCATCACATGCGGGTGATCGTACGGGACCATCATCAACTTCTGCTACCGAGTAGACTCAAAGATTGGGCCGCGAGCGTGTCGGCAATCCAGGACGCGGACATCAGACAAGAATTCTTTCGCATCCAGTCGGAGTTTGCAGAAATCATCCATCAAGATGTCCTTCGTACCGCGGGGCAGTTCTACCTCAGAAATCAACCATCCAACAGTGACATCGACACAATCCTACAAATGCAGGCTGACAACGCCCGTTCTTTCATGACTCCCACGATAGACGGCAGCTTCATCCATGCTTCGGTCCCTTGAGTCTTGTTGTAATTAAACTTTAATGAACTTGTAGTATGTCTCTTTGGTTTCGAGAGTCGTTCAACTTCAGATGTAATCGATGCTATTAATGTCTTGCTTTTCTCTTCCGATCGTTCTGTTGCATACTTATATATTGCTTATGTATTGTCTGTGAATTGGTACTAACGTTTCGTTTGGCTACTGCATAGCGATGCCGTGGTATGTCGTGTACAAGGGTAAGGTTCCCGGAGTCTACGACGACTGGGAGGAGTGTCGGAGACAGGTTCACGGATTCAGCGGTAACAGTTACAAAGGGTACGCCACTAGGGCCGAGGCCAAATCTAGATACGCCCGCTATCTAGCGGGAGAGAGGAGGGAGCGTTGGAGGAACCGGATGAAGACGAGTTTCATCGTGATGATGCTCATCGTGATGACCGCAACTCTCTTCTATGTGATGGTAGTTTAGATGATTGATATCGACTTGTAATGTGAAGACAAACTCGCGGTCTCGAGACTTGTAATATAATGTTCTATCTTTGTTCGGTCTTTTCAATTCGGAGACTAATATGATGACTTGTATTCGGAGACTAAAATGATGAATTGTATTCATAGAGTAATCTTCTATTGTATTCGATGAATCTATTGTTGATGTGTGCTGTCTATATTTTGTCCAATTATACATTTTGTAACCTGTGCAAAAAACAGAAAATAAAAAAATAAAAAAACCTAATATTCATACTAATGGCGCATCACATCATAGTGCGCCATTAGTATGCCAAAGGATACTAATGGCGCATCATTAAAGAGTGCGCCATTAGTATGCCGAAGTTACTAATGGCGCATCCTGCTGTCGTGCGCCATTAGTATGCCAAAGCACCTGGGTATACATGGCCCCCTGGGAGGCATACTAATGGCTCACTGTTGTATATACTAATGGCGCATCTGGGGTGCGCCATTAGTATACCAGATACTAATGGCGCACCTGTGGTGCGCCATTAGTAAAATATACCAATGGCGTGCTACTAATGGCGCACCACTAATGCGCCATTAATGGCCAAATTAGGTGCGCCATTAGTAGACCTTTTCCTAGTTGTGAGTAGGCCAAACCAAACTGATCATTCGAAGAGACTTGCAAAGATAACCAATCATACATAAAAGAATTAAGAGAAGATTCAAATATTATTCATAGATATACTTGATCATAAACCCACAATTCATCGCTCTCAACAAACACACCGCAAAAAGAATATTACATCGAATAGATCTCCATGAGAGAGGGGGAGAACATTATATTGAGATCCAAAAAGAGAGGAGAAGCCATCTAGCTACTAGCTATGGACCCGTAGGTCTGAAGTAAACTACTCACACTTCATCGGAGAGGCTTGGATGGTGATGTAGAAGCCCTCTGTGATCGATGCCCCCTCCAGCGGAGCTCCGGAACAGGCCCCAAGATGGGATCTCATGGATACAAAAAGTTGCGGCGGTGGAATTAGGTTTTTGGCTCCGTCTTTGATCATTTGGGGGTACGTGGATATATATATAGGAGGAAGAAGTACGTCGGTGGAGCTTCGAGGGGCCCACGAGGCAGGGGGGCGCGCCCTAGGGGGGCGCCCTCCAAACTCGTGACCGCCGTGTGGCTTTCTTGACGGAGGGTCCAAGTCTCCTATATCTTATCTGATGAGAAAATCACGTCCGAAGGTTTCATTCCATTTGGACTCCGTTTGATATTCCTTTTCTTTGAAACCCTAAAACAAGCAAAAAAACAGCAATTCTGGGCTGGGCCTCTGGTTAATAGGTTAGTCCCAAAAATAATATAAAAGTGGATAATCAAGCCCAATAATGTCCAAAACAGTAGATAATATAGCATGGAGCAATCAAAAATTATAGATACGTTGGAGACGTATCATTGATCACGACCTTTATAATTACCAAATCTATTCCAAAAGTCCAAGAAAAAAACCAGTAAATCAAAATACTTGTTTTGGGTACGAGAATAGTAGTTTCCACCCAATATAATTTTTGAAACAACTTTTTGTATACGAAACATGCATATAGGCCTTTAATAAATCCCTAAAATTAATTTCTAGAGTTTATTAATTTCTATTGTGGTTTTGAACATCCAATATGATTCATATGTGTGTAATTTATAAACTTGTGAGTTGGATCAAGTTGAATTTTCAAATGACTCAAAAATCTAAATTTGAAACCAAGCCCACCTTACGCGACGCTGGTCAAGGGGTGAGGGACCCTCCATCCAACTTAGGATACCATTTCCTAGGGCTAGCGTTAGGCATGCACAAATGGATGTTTCTAGGAACACATTGAATCATGCTGAATGGAGTGATCCGCCGAGGTTAAAGTGCTCATTTTGTTCTTGGAAATAGGGAAAAATCTTAGAATGAGAATAGTTGGATGCAACTCTCCCTACTCATCCCCTTAGAAGTACCAAGGCTCGCTAACTCATTTCATGTACTAGCGTGATGTTTGTCGATGAGTAAGTATAAGTAGTGAGATAAGGGTATGTCCAATGGTGCATTCAGATTGGGTCACCCAAAAGAGTGTCTAGGGACCTCTGTGTCTTGCGCCTCATTGCGCCCAAGTAGGTACTCAGAGGGGGTAATGATGGGTGCACTTAGTCAGGAATGTAGCTATAATGGGAGATCATTCCTGTAACGGTAGGATTGCTCGATCATATCATATCCCTCGAAGGTAGTACGACATTCACCTACTAATATAAGAGACGGACAGACCTCCATCAAAGAACATTGTACTTCTAAGGCATTTGACTCATAAGCTAGATCTCTCTAGATAAGATCTACACCATTGTAATCCTACCATTGATTAGTTAATGTCAGTAGGTAGGACATAAGGCGTTTTTCCATCCGGGAGCCAGAACCTTGGTGAACCCACCATGTCACCTTCGTGGTCAGCGGTGCATTAATCTCGACACGATACGACCAGGTGATCCCAAAGTTACAAGGGAATGTATCTTCTATAACATCAAAATCCCTGACCGAGCATACACATATTTATCCTTTCCTAGTGTCTATTCAAGCATAATGGGGTGCAGAGCCTTAGATACTTTTAAAGTTAATCGGTGAATATGAAATCCAAATAATTCTATGGAGTATTAGGAATGGACATCCAAAATGCTATCTTTACTAGGTTCCGACAATATGCAAGTCTAGATCATCTATAATGAGTAATAAATCGGCCGATACTAAATATGGTGATGCATTTCCAAATTTCAACGAACTTTTATCAAACCAATAAGGATAGCCGCACAACCAAGGAACTATATGAACTAGCATATTTTCTTCCAATCTCTTATTCATGCATTACATTACATAGGTCCTTAGATCCACCTCACTAAGATTTCCCTTCCAGGCCTCCATAAAAGAATTGAGCTCTTCCTATGGGTGAAGCAGAGTAGAGCTTGCCATCTGTAACTTTACTGCGTGCATCATTGCCAATTGGGGTGCTTCTACCATCCTTGTGGATGAGCCAGATATCATGGATAGATGCAGCTTGACCAGGGTTAGAGGCAAAGGCTCCACTTCCCATAGGAGGAGCTATAGTATTTCTAGTACTTCGAACATGCCCTCCAATTGAGATTTGAGTGGCTTTTGTAGATAAGCTGTCAAATAGTGATGCTGGGAAGTAACCTACTAGAATTGGGACACCGTTGATGCCATAGTACAACCACCAGTCCCCACTTGAACTTTCCTACAATTTTATTCATGCAAACATATAGGACAATAATTAAATGAGTACTTCTGCATCCCTAATGAATTAAAATTGTGAAAACGTACCTTGGACACTCTAATAGTAATCGTTTGGCGTTTCCTATTGATACCGGAGACAGGACTTATGATATCACCAGGAGATATGGTGGACCCCTTCACGAGTTTAAAGCCAGGACAATCGAGGTTGACACACCCTGTACTTTGATGATTATCTTTCTGCACTTCCAAACATATCATTTAGATGCCATCCCATATTGTCTAATATCTAGTCGCTCATTTTTAAAAATAACTCTTATTTTGGAATATTACTTAAAATTATAATTCTTCCATGTATACACAATGCTACCTCTATATTTGAGTTTCCCCTTATTATTTCATTATCATTGTCAAGCATTTATGCAAAACCAACTCCTAATTATTTTGCTTGTTTGAGAACACCTAGAGAAGTAGTTTATCCAATCATTCTATCAACTTAGTTTATCTCAGAGTTCTCTAAAATCATGTTACCTTCAAAATATAAATCTTAGAAAAATAATAAGTTTCACCCACTTTTTGTGGACTATATATATCACAAGTTTAAATAAGAGGAAGAAACATACTGTCCAAACTGTAAAAAGGTGAGTACGCGAGTCATTAAATCGATATGGCCAAACCTACATAAGTATAAGAAACATAAGTCAATTATAAGAAATACAAAACTAAAACATATCAACATCGTTTAAAATAATATGGAGATTCAAAGACTAAAAAAGATGACTTACCACCCAACCAACAATAATTGTATTGAGTTTTTTGTTAACATCACCTTCCCAGTTATGAATCCAAATTGCACCCGCTGACAGTTGTCCGACATTAATATTGTGTCCATACACATCCATGTTAGCAGATATTCCATAGTATCCCTTGTCATTATCATCCGTCAAATGTACGGCAAACTTCAAAATGAGTAAATTTAAAGATGGAGGTTATTCATACACTTCAAAAATCTAGATAAACAAACTATAAATCAATAGTTTGGTAAGAATCACAAATAATTCAATATTATCTAAAAGATATTTTTAGTAAAGAGGAGAAAAGTATATAAATCACATAATATTTTGTGTCATCATCATTTTTGATGGTAAAGCTTGTGCATATGACATCTGAGGCATATATATAATATCTGTTGAACTAAAATTGCAATCCATATATTGTGAACTTGTTGGGGTTTCCTTCATACTAATGAGCATCAATGATGCATTCATATTTTCCTTCAAGACAAAAAGGATCATGTAAGTATGCATATATGGATTTGTAGCTTCTTATTTGCCGGTGTGAAAATCAACTCATCTAAAAATGATACACAAATAGTAATGGATGGTTATAGGAAAGCAGGAATTCTTCTGTTGATTGACTCCACATGTATGTTGAATCTTCTATTCCCACATCCAAACACATAAACAACTGGGCGATTCATTGTACATGATGCATGGACTTTCTTGTATATATTTTGGTGGAAATCTTTCTCAAATAGAATACTCTGTTTACCTCACGGGTATTCAGAGTAAGTTGATCTGCCAGGCCTTGATGCACAAAAAATATGGTGCATAACGCAAAGATTTCCAAAACTAGATGAAGATGAGACATCTTGAGATGGGGGAGAACACATATAGAGCAATATTCCCATGGGAGTTCTATTGTATAGAGGGGCTACTCTTAATTTCCACGCGACTACAACCTGCAATAGAGCAAAAAATGATATACAACCCCCACACAATCAAGAAATAAATGACCAAATCTCTTCTCATTAAATATGATACTATGATAGTGCTACTTGGAAGAAATTTATGGAATGGCAATCCAGATATGCAACTTTGATTTGTTTATTTATTGAAGTACATTTGTTTCCATATCCAAAATTAAACAACTATGTACTGAGCCAAAAGACATCTAATATATTGCTATCAAGTACACACTTTGTGCATACTTTTTATTGAATTTTTTTCATAACATATTAATCCAGTTCCCAATGCTAGTTCATCTTTTTTTTTGTTTCATTATTTTTTAGAAAAATCCCTAGAAAAAGTCTAAGGAAAAACAAAACAAAAATGGTGTTGGAAGTTTTAACACATTAGAAGGCCATAGGAGCTTGGCCCTACACGAGATGGGCCCCACATGCCCTATGCATCCTAGGGCTATGGGTGCTTACAGCCTATGAGACCCCTTGGTTGGCCACCAGTGCCCGATGGTCCATATATACCCCCATTTGCACACCCTAATTATTAAGAAATTTTCCGCCGCCGCCACATCATGTTGATGAGGCAATCTTCATTTCACCCCAGATCTGATACTTATCATAGGGGGAGTTCATCTCCGTCATCACAAACCTCGATGCTCGTGCTCCAAGATGAGTCATGAGCAGTTCGGCCCCTAGGCTACAGGTTCATGGCAGTAGTCAAAGTTGTAATCTCTCCATCTTAAATATTTTAGGGATAATCAATTTTATGCCCCTGGTTGTGTCCCACTCAGTTGTTTTGCCCCTAGTTTCCAAAAATCCTCGGTCCTGCCCAAGCCTCTTCACTCCTCTTATGCATTTTCCCTTTTACCGTTTGATCATCACTTTCAAAACTTCATTAAAAAATTCATATTAACTTGAGAAAATACAAATAAGATATCCAAATGTTTAGAAAAACAACACCTATATGTGCATGTCATTTGCATTCACGACAAAGGTGTTGTTTAAACCACACGATTGTATTAATATTATTGAACCTAAAAATGTATGAACAACACTTTTGTCATGAATGCAAATGCAAAAACATATAGGTGATGTTTTTCTAATCATTTAGATATCTTATTTGCATTTTCCTGAGTTAATATGAATTTATTATGAAGTTTTCGAAGTGGGAAAATGTTCAAAGGGCGGTCAAAGGGAAAATGCATAAGAGAAGTGTCTTGGGCAAGACCGATGATTTTGGAAAACTAGGGGCAAAACGGCCAAGTGGGACACAACTGGGGGCACATAAATATTTGTCCCATTTTTTTATGTTCAATGCAATATCCATATGAGCTGCCCTACATGATTATGGTTTATTATGTATTTGAAGTAGTGATGTAATGTGGACAAATATAAACATAGGCCCAACCGAGACTAACACTGCAAAAAGAACACTTCTGTGATAATATGTGTTTGTCACAGTAGGTCACGTTTTCTGTCACGCATGTACATCCATGACGATTTTATGGCAAAACGAAGATAGTCATACATGTGCTATTGCGGGAGTGTTCCATGAAAATAGTCAATTTATTGTCACGAAAGCATTCACTTCCGTGATGATAAATGACAAGTCATAGAAGTGATTTCATCAAGTGTAACTGACATGTGGTAGCCACCGTAACGATTAGCTATTTAGCTATCGAGTGCCGGTTTTGGATCCGATACCCTTTAATAGCACTGACCAATGATGATTTTCCATGTGTCAATTTCTCATTCGCCAACAGAACAACGTGTGAGCTCTTCGTGGTGATAGATGCCATCCATCCAATGGATGAGACACACCTATGAAATGTTAGAGGCTAACATTGTCCCATTTAGGTTCAAAAGGCCGACCCACTTGACTTGGTCAAAAGTTAGTGGGCCGGCCCATTGAAAGCATGTTAACGACATGTTTGCATATAGCTCATTTACGGTCCGGGTACGCCCGACCCGTTATGGCCTTTCTGAATTCAGCCCACTAGGGTCATGTGGGCCGTCCAATACGATTCCAGCCTCTTAACACTTTCGGCCCATGTGTGGCCAGTGACGTCTTTCGTCCCATACGAGGCTTTTTGTATCTCCTGGCCTTTTAGTGACCGTGGTGATTTTGGCCCATAAAGAAAAACAAATGGCTTTGGACCCATTAGCGGCCCGTGATTTAGTTGGGCTGTTTCCAACCCGTGTTTTCTTTTGGCCTTTTAAGGGCCCATAATATCTAGGGCTCATTTTTGGTCCTCGATTACTTCCGGTCTGTTACCGGCCTGTTCTGTTACAGAGGCAAATACATGCCATTGTTAAATTCGGCCCATTTGTGGCCCATTCATCCATTGGGACATTACTACTTGATAACCCACAAGTATAGGGGATCGCAACAGTCCTCGAGGGTAGAGTACTCAACCCAAATATATTGATTTGACACAAGGGGAGCCAAAGAATATTCACGAGTATTAGCAGTTGAGTTGTCAATTCAACCACACTAAAAGACTTAATATATGTAGGAAAGTTTTTAGTAGCAAAGTAGTATGGCAGTAACACTAACAGTGGCAATAGTAACAGTAGCAGTTTTTAGTGATTGTAACAGCAGTAGCAACGAAAGTAACTTAACAAAGACCAATATGTGAAAAGCTCATAGGCATTGGATCGGCAATGATAATTTTGTTGGATAATATTCATCATGTAGCAGTTATAACCTAGGGTGACATAGAACTAGCCCCCATTCATCAATGTCATGTAGGCATGTATTCCATACATAGTCATATATGCTTATGGAAAAGAACTTGCATGACATCTTTTATCCAACCCTCCCATGGTAGCAGGGTCCTAATGGACACTAAGGGATATTAACACCTCTTTTTAATAGAGAACCGAAACAAAGCATTAGCACTTAGTGAATACATGAACTCCTTAAACTACGGTAATCACATGAAAGAATCCCAATTATTGTCACCTTGGGGTATGCGAATCATAACTCGTAATAGGCGTCTACAAGTTGCAAGATAGGATCAAGAACACACATATATTCATGAAAACATAGAAAAGTCATAGCAACATCAATCTCAGAGCATAGTGGGTTCTAGGGATCAAACCCTAACAAAATTAACTCAATTACATGATAAATCACATCCAACCCATCACCGTTCGGCAAGCCTACGATGGAATTACTCACTTCCAGCAGTGAGCATCATGAAATTGGTGATGGAGGAAGGTTGATGATGACGATGGCAACGGATTCCACCCTCTGGAGCCCTGAAGGGACTCGAGATCAGCCCTCCCGACGAAGAACAGGAGGTGACGGCGGCTCCGTATCATAAAACGCGATGAATCCTTCTCTCTAAATTTTTTTCTCAGTGAATAGGTATATATGGAGTTGGAGTTAGGGTTGTAGATGGTCCAGGGGGGCCACAAGCCCGCTCTGGCATCTTTTTCCGCTAGTATTTTTTATATATTCCACAAATATTCTCCGTAAATTTTTAGGTCAACCAAGAATTTTTATTTTTGCACAAAAATAACACCATGGAAATTTTGCTGAAACAATGTCAGTCTGGGTTAGTTCCATTCAAATTATGCAAATTAGAGTCCAAAACAAGGGCAAAAAAGTTTGGAAAAGTAGATACGATGGAGACGTATCAACTCCCCCAAGCTTAACCCATTGCTTGTCCTCAAGCAATTCAGTTGACAAACTGAAACTGACAAAAAAAACTTTTACAAACTTTGTTTGATCTCGTTGTTGTAAATATGTCTAGCCAATATTCAGGTTTTCAACAAAGATTATGAACTAACCATATTGACAATAACATTTAGGTATCACATTTACTCATATCAATGGCATAATCAAATAGCAAGCAATAATGAGATATCTCGGATGACAACACTTTTTTTCAAAACAATCATGATATAATATGACATAATGGTATCTCGCTAGCCCTTTCTGAGACCGCAAAACATAAATGCAAAGCACCCTAAAAGACCAAGGACTGACTAGACATTATTATTCATGACAAAAGAGATCTAGTCACACTCATACTCAACATCAATTCAAAACAAAGCATATAAATGACAATAGTGCTCTCCAGTTGGGGCTTTTAATAAGAGGATGATGACTCAACAATAAAAGTAAATAGATGCCCCCTTCATAGAGGGAAGCAGGGATTTGCACAGGTGCCAGAGCTTGAATCTTTTAAAACATAGATGAATATAATTTCGAGAGGCATGCTTTCATTGTCAACATACCAACCAAAGGGTCTCACTATCTTCCATGCTAGACACATTATAGGTGGTTCCCAAATAGTCTGGTAAAGTTTTACTTCCCCTCCACCAACAATCACACTCCACGGCTAGCCGAATCCATGGGTACCGTACATACCAACAACAGTCCTGGGGGAGTTTTGTTTCATTATTATATTTTGATTTGACTTTGATCATGGAACTGGGCATCCTGATTACTAGCCACTTTCTCATGATTGACACGTGAATAAACATTCATCGTGAGAATAACCCACCTAGCATGGAAGATAGTGATAGCCCCCGGTCGCTACATGAGCGATTTAGGCATACAAAACAGATTATTATTTGAAGGTTTAGAGTTTGGCACATGCAAAATTACTCGGAACGACAAGTAAATACCACATATAGGTAGGTATGGTGGACTCATATGGAACAACTTTGGGTTTAAGGCAGTGGATGGACAAGCAGTATTCCCGATTAGTATAGGTGAAGGCTTGCGAAAAGATTGAGGAGCGACCAACTAGAGAGCGACAACGGTCATATACATTTTGGGGAACGCAATATTTCAAAAAAATCCTACGATCATGCAATATCTATCTAGGGATGCATAGCAACGAGAGGGGATAGTGTGCCTACCTACCCTCGTAGACTAAAAGCGGAAGCGTTG